AAGGCTGAGGAATTGCTCCAGATTAAAGAAGAGTAAAGAGAAATGACCACTAAACACAATACGTGATCAGAACCGGTGCCTACACTGGGGAAAAAATGCTATAAATGTCATTACTGGGTCAATTGACAAAATCAAATTATAGCCTACAGTTTGATAGAAAAATTGCAGCCATGTTAAGTTTTCTGCATGTGATTATAACAGAGAATAGCCGCCTTCTTAGGAAATACCTACTGAAGTAGAAAGGGCATGGTTGATGCAACCAACTCAGTGGCTAAAAAAAAAAAAATGTTATAAGCATATATAGAGAGGGTAAATGTGGCCAATATTCAAAACTGGTAAATGTGGATAAAAGCTCTACTGGAGTTCTTTTGTACAATTCTTACACCTTTTTTTTTTTTATAAGTTTGAAATTATTTCCAAATAGAAAGTTTTCTTACAAAAGAGTTAGCCAGTCTTTCAATTTTCTTTCAACCCTCATGATTATGTCAAAGAGAAAGTATCAGTTTGGGATTAATATATCTTTAAGACTTTTCTAACACTTGCTAATCTCCCTTTTTAATAAAGAGAGCTCAGGCCTCTGGCTCAGTCTTTGGCAAGCAACAGTTACCAGCTAGAATTTAATACTTCAGTTTTGTTTTCATTGTATTTATTTTCTATTTGTGGGAAGTGGGGTAGCTGTCCTTGCGTGGTAAGATATACAATTACCTTTTAAATAGATTTATATAATTAGAAATGAGTTAATATAGAGAAATATTTGTGTTTCATTTTAATGTAAAGTTAATAAATATTAATATAAAAGTGCAGGTAGGGCTTCCCTGGTGGCGCAGTGGTTGAGAGTCCGCCTGCCGATGCAGGGGACGTGGGTTCGTGCCCTGGTCCGGGAAGATCCCACATGCCGTGGAGCGGCTGGGCCCGTGCGTACCGCAAAAAAAAAAAAAAAAAAAAATCCTATCTTTACCCTCCAAATGCTACTTGCATTTTTTTTTTTTTTGCTGAGCTGTGTTTCTTATTGTAGAGCTGGTCTTGGCACTCCTGTGTCATGAGTCACACGGCAATGGGTGGTGGAATGGGCAATGGCCAGGAGGGCTCCCTCATCTGCGTACCTGCCCCACCATCATCACTAGGGACTGTGTCATTGTAGAGCAGCCACCCAACGTTCATAGTTCCAGTTTCCCTTCCTGTAAGATGAAGCCATTACCATAGACCCAGAATAGACCAAGAATAGAAACATTAGTGCATACTAAATGTCAGGCAATTTGTGATTAAACGTCCTACCTTGGGCTTCCCTGGTGGCGCAGTGGTTAAGAATCCGCCTGCCAATGCAGGGGACACAGGTTCGAGCCCTGGTCCAGGAAGATCCCACATGCCGCAGAAAAACTAAGCCCGAGTGCCACAACTACTGAGCCTGCACTCTAGAGCCCGCGTGCTGCAACTACTGAGCCCCTGAGCCACAACTACTGAAACCCGTGCACCTAGAGCCTGTGCTCCACAACAAGAGAAGCCACCGCAGTGAGAAGCCCACACACCACAATGAAGCGTAGTCCCCGCTCGCCACAACTAGAGAAAGCCCGCGCGCAGCAACAATGACCCAACGCAGCCAAAAATAAATAAATAAATAAATTTTAAAGAGGAAAAGAAAGAAATAGTTGAGGGAAGCAAAGCTGGGTGTTCCCATGTCCTGAGGCCCCAGCCCTGTCCCCAGCTCTCACACTCAAAATTCCTGGAGCTGACAGTTAAAATACTTCCTTTTTTTTCTCATGTTCTTACTCTCACACGATGCTATTTTCCATAAATCTGTAGGTGGGTTTTAGTTGTCCTTTGGTGAAAAAGCAGAGCTACTGGGGTTGAGTCAATGTGTATGTATGATCTAGTCCCTCTGCTGCTGTCATCATGGAATTCAACCTCAGGAGCAAGAGGAGAATTCCCTTTGCTTACAGGGGTCCCAGAGGAAGGCGTGGGACAGCTTCCTTGGTCTCATCCCAGGCTTGACCACTCTGACTAGCCTCCCTCACGCCACCCGAATCCACCTGGGCACGAGTGCGTGTGTGCCTCTTCTGTTCCTTCCTCCGTGGACAGCAAATGTCCTCCAGTCTTTGTAAAATAATCTTTATGTGTTTGAAGGTGATCACTAACCTCCTCAAGTATCTTTCCTCAAAGTGAATGTACCCACTTTTTCCATTCCATGCATAAAATAACACTTTCCAATCTATTCATCATCCTCTGAGCTTTTGTGTTGTTTTTTCCTGTCACTCTAAAGCTGTGGAATCCGGAACAGAATACGGTACCTTGAGGGTATGTGCAGTCAGTGCAAAAATGCTCAACATTCCTGCTTCCTTGGGAGGACTGACCCTCCTCTGGTCTGCAGGTCCCTCTGGACTCTCCAGGCCTGAGCAAATCTGTTCTGGGGGCTTTGGTTGTCCAAGTTCCATCCGCGCAGCATTTTAAGTAAGAGGTAGTGCAGGAGGGTCCTCAGAGATACACCCTATAGCTCCAAAAGTGAGAAGTCCAGCTTAGTACCAGGTCACTACTAAAAGGTTGACGAGTCCTAATGCTTCCCTAGGGAATCAAATTAAAGTAAAATCAGGCATTCAGGTCATTCTGGAACTTGACAAACTCCTACCAAAGTAGCCTATTTATGGGAGGCTATTATGCAGAATGATATTAGGGACATTAAAAAAAATCACAAAGATGCCCCTCTCCCCAGCACTAGGGGAGAAATTCTACACTGTGCCTGAAAATTTCAATTACTGAACACATAAGAGCTTCTTTTTTTTTTTTAACATCTTTATTGGAGTATAATTGCTTTACAATGGTGTGTTAGTTTCTGCTGTATAACAAAGTGAACCAGCCGTACGTATACATATATCCCCATATCTCCTCCCTCTTGCGTCTCCCTCCCACCCTCCCTATCCCACCCCTCTCGGTGGTCACAAAGCACCAAGCTGATCTCCCCATGTGATGCTGCTGCTTCACTAGCTATCTATTTTACATTTGGTAGTGTATATATGTCCATGCCACTCTCTCACTTCGTCCCAGCTTACCCTTCCCTCTCCCTGTGTCCTCAAGTCCATTCTCTGTGTCTGTGTCTTTATTCCTGTCCTGCCCCTAGGTTCATCAGAACCATTTGAACACATATGAGCTTCTTTTAGCAATTCCATGTGAGAATCTTGCCCTGCCCACTTTGCAGGAATGCACTAATATATGGTGATATCCTTTAAAAACTGTAAAAGCAGAGAGAGGAGAGAGAGAGGTGGGGGTAGAGCGAATTTTTACACAATCTGTGTCTGAGGCCATCTCAGAACTGCCCCAGCCCCTGCCTGTCATGAGGCAAGTTCAAGGACCCGAGCACCCACCTAGCAGGGTTAAAGATTCAGCCCCAGGACTTCCCTGTGGTCCAGTGGCTAGGAATACGCCTTCCAATGCAGGGGACATGGGTTTGATTCCTGGTCAGGGAACTAAGATCCCACATGCTTCAGGGCAACTAAGCCTGTGCGCTGCAACTAGAGCCTGCGCACTACAACAAAAATCCCACATGCTGCAATGAAAATCCCATGTGCTGCAACTAAGACCCGACACAGCCAAATAAATAAATAAATATTAAATAAATAAATAAATATTTAAAAATAAATAAAAATAAACTCAGAGTTAATTTAAAAATAAACAAATAACAGGGGAAAAGAGAGGGGTTTAAAAAAAAAAAGATTCAGCCCCAAATTTCCCAGACTCCCTCAGGGTTGAAGGGGGGTTGTCAAATGGCTGCACATTAGACAGTCTACCCAAAAGGCAGGAAAAATCTCTTTTAAACAGAGTTTAATGCTTGTCATTGGAGGCCAGTGAGTCTAGACTTCTCACTTTTTGCATGGGGAAACAACACAGAGGGAGTGACTGGTCCAGGAACATGCAACAATTAGTGGCAGAACCAGGACTAAAATTGACCTGTCTTTCCTTGGCCATTTTGGCCCTCTTTGAAAATACTAGAGCAGCAAAGCACTAAATAGAATGGGAGAAATTCCTTCGTCTCTCTACCCGGACACTTGCGATAGATGGGGCACGCCAACCACAATTTTCTGGTTCAGCTCAGACGGCAGATGCAGGATGGGTAAGTGGGAGGTAGGGATGAACCCTGTGTGTGTACATTCCAACTCCTTTCTTTGCATTTTGGTTCCATTTAACAACGTGTTACCTCTTCACAGAGTAGTTTATATCATTGCAGGATGCCAAGAATGACATCAACATCTATTAAAACCTAATGTTTCACATTCTCAACTGTAAACATTAACATTGCTTAGTTTCCAGATATAAACTCACAGTCATTCTGAAGTTGGATGGTTTCTTTCCAAGAAAGTTGATGTTACTGTAATGAAATTTACCTAATTAATCTCCTTAAGGAGGGAAGGAATCCAATGATGACTGTTAATAAAGACCTCAACGTTCTTCTTGTAATCAGAGCAAAGCAATCTGTGGATTCGTTTTGGGAGAGACCATAACTTTCCAAATAAATCTTAGTAAAGCTCTGCAGACAGGGTTCTTGAGCTATTTCCCCACTTGGCTGGCTCACTTTCAGCTTAACTAGCCCTGTGTAAAGTCCTATAGGACCTCTGGATATACTTATATTCACCTGTGACATTGGACCCCAACATCTAGGGTATTGTTCTTGGTGCCAAGAGCTCATATGAAAGGGAAATTTGAACCAGTCATTGATGGAAACTCTTGGTTTGCCAGACTTCAAAGCCATCCCCTACCTGGGGCATCATCTGCATACCGTGTGCCTGGACCCACCTCCTGATACCTGCACAATGTTTTGGCTGCACCAAGCAGTGAATATGAACAGCAGCCGTCAGCCTCCGCCAGGGTCTTCCCTGGACCCCGATGGAGCCATCTACATATACGTAACCAAGAATCTCTCCTTTCGGGGCTTCCCTGGTGGTCCAGTGGTTAAGACTCCACGCTCCCAATGCAGGGGGCCTGGGTTCAATCCTTGGTCAGGGAACTAGATCCTGTATGCCGCAACTAAGAGCCCACATGCAGTAACTAAAAATTTCACATGCCGCAACTAAAGGTCCAGCATGCCACAGTGAAGATCCCGTGTGCCACAAAGAAGACCCGGTGCAGCACACGGTGTCACACCAGGGTATAGGAAGCCACAGTGGGGAGTAAGGAGAACATTCCCTGGTCTCCCGGTCCAGAGTTCAAGAGGACTGCAGAAGTGGCACCCACAGGAAAGAGTCTTCTGAGAGACAGCTTCTGTGAAGATGTTGAGGGAATGGGAGTGTTTAGGAACCCCAGGACTGGGGGTCTAACAGGTATGAAGGGAATCACTGGGTTGGAATCTTGGGATGTTAGGTCAGAGCAGTATGGGTGTGATGGTATGGAAGGGTTTGGAAGGTTATAGAAAAAGCTTAGGAATGTGGCAGGAATCCAGTTTTTAACATTGGGACAGCTGGTCATGGAGAGGCAAACAGCCAAGGGTAACTTGGTCCTCAGCCCCCGAATACGGAGCTGGAGCTGTTTAAGTCCTTGCTGATTCAGGACCTGACCGGACTGGGAAGGGAGGTGGGGCTGGGTTTACAGGTGGCAGGTGGGACAAAGGGTGTCAAGGCAGGTAACCTACCAGGCCTGACACTATCTCGGCAAAGAAAGCCATAGAGAGCCTCAGAAGGCTGGTGACCTGAGTAGAGTTTTGAAGAACAGAATCTCTCCGCCACTCCCTATCCCATCCAGGGAAAAATATTGTTTAGGTCTTGCTATGGTAACATCCTGGAGTAATTCATCCTATGGCAGTCATCCTGTGCTCTCTGCAGCCTCCACTATCCTTGTGAGGGCCCTGAAATCTGGGACTGGGCTCAGCCTTTATTGTAATTTTTGGTCTCATCATTTATGTCCCAAGTGGGATTGTAAGCTCCATGAGGGCAGGGAACAGATCTATTTCCATAGATCAAGTTCCAGCACAATGCTTGCCCTCAGTAAGTATTTAGCAAAAGAATGACTAACTCTGGCAGATGACATTATTATGCTCAAGTATTCAATTCCTCCTTCCTTAGAGCACAACCCTTTGGGATTGGTCACGTGACTTGCTTTGTCCAACAAAATTCAAGTGGGCGTGACGCATGCCATTTCCGAGGAGCGGACTGAAGGGAGAATGCACGGCTTAGCTCAGCCTCTTGTGCTTCTGTTCTCTGTCACAGGGCTGTGGGTTGCAGGTAAGGGTTGCTCCTGCAGCCCGAGTCCCAGAACAGGAAGATGCTAGAAGCCACCCTATAGTCAGCCCACAGCCTAGTGCAGAGCTGTGGCCATTCCACAGCACGATGGAGACGTCAATGTCTGTAAGCCACCGAGTCTGGGAGTTGTTACCATGACAAAAGCCCTGAGGTTGGGGGAATAAATTATCTCCTGTTTAATTTCTCCCGAGTGCTGTCACAGCTGCCTTCAATGCCTCCATCTTGCCAAAGCTGAGAGCAGATGGCAAACCCACCTGCCTTGCCCCCCATACCAGCAAGCGAGCAGTCTCTCTGCTGTCTTCTCCAAAAGAACACAAGTTTCCACCGTCCCAGAGAAACCTAATGGTTAACTGTCAAGGCCGCCTACCATGAAAAGTGGCCTGAAAGCAAGTTTACATATCATATTTTAAACATTTACAGTTTTAAAATAAATACAAGACTGAAGCCAGCTCCAACCCCCTCCCTGTCTTCACCTGCCAGTGAAGCATGTTCTCTCCAGTTCTTCAAAAAGCCAGAGTGGTACTCAGGGGCTGGAGGTGGAGCGTTGTCTGCAAGTGATGTGATTGAAAGCTCAGGGTCTTCTCCCTCTGCACCAGTCTTCAAGTTATCTTGGGAAGAACTTGGAATATAAAATGTACACAGACCTTGCACAGAAGGAAAGGCAGACCCAAAGAAATCCTGGAGACACCGTACTCTTCTCAGTTCTCTTATTATTCTCTGGAGCTACCTATCTTGAAGAGAGGTGAAAAAAATGTAGACAGAGCTATAAGAAACTAAATAGCTAAACAACTGGAAACTAAACAAAATGGTTCATATTTTTATCAGACCCTGTAATGACATCCACCTTCCTGGTCTCAGCCTCCACCAATGTGCTGATAATTTCAAACTCTACCTTTCCAACCTCAACTTTTCCCACAGGGTGCAGATCCTTAGAGCCACTTGGCTGTCCACAATACTTCAAATGCAATATGTTTGAAATGAAACCTTGGGCATCCCCTTGAGTATGGGCTTCTTTCTCTTCAGTTTCCATGTTGACTGATGGTACCCCATCCACCTCCTTGTCCAAGCCAGAAACTGGGGATCTTGTTGGATCCTTTTCTCTCCCTCAGCCCCTGAATTCATCTCATTATCAAGTCCTACGGTTCTACCCCAAATCCTTCGTGGGAGAAAGCTGGCTATAAATAATTCATACCTCCATATATAAATAAAGGCCCTACTTACATTATCTCTGAAATGTCCCTAAAATTCCTTTCCCCTATCCTACTGTTAAGGAGGAAGAAAACTTTCCTCTACCCTTCTAGGTTCTTCTGGTTGGTATAAGACTTAAATCGACATGAGACAGAGTAACAGGAGAAAATTAGATTTAATTTTGCACATACAGAAACCCCACACATGAGAGGGTCAGAGACAGAAAGGTAAAATGAGGTCTATATGCCATCCTGAGTGAGAAATGGTATAGGAGCCTGGGGCTTCCAAGGAAAGAAGGTCCCTCACAGGACAATAAGAGGAAGAGCAGATGCTTGGTATCTAGATATTTGCCCTGCCATACAGATGGGACCACTTGGATAAAATTTGTCTCCAGTAATAACTCTTGGCGGGGAAAAATCCCCAATTTAAATTCTTGTAGGTAGTTAGGGGAGGGGCAGTAGTTTCTCTTGAACCCACAGGGTCTCGATTGCCTTTAGTTCAAAATCATCCTCCTCCAAGAGTGATACATTTGGGGGAGGCTCGTTCTGAACCCCACATCACTCATGGTCCCTCACCCCAACTGTCTCAGTTCATCTCAACTCCTGCAAAAATCTCCTAACTGGTCTCTGCCTCCAATCTGGCTGGCTGCTGCCCCCCTGACCTGCAGTCTATCCTTCAGACCAGAGTCCTCTTCCTAAAACACACATCTGATGGTGTCATTCCCTTCCTGGAAAGTTCACTGTGGCTTTCCATCGGCTAGAGAATAAAGCTCCACCTCTGATGGCTCATGGAGAACTTTGCGACCGGCCTCTGGGTATTTTCCAGGCTCATTGCTTACAGTGTCCAAGCTCTGAGCATTGGGAACATGCTGTGTCCTTTCTTCCTGGGGACGCTGTATTTACCTAGAGGACCCCTGCTTACCGTTTATGCCTCCGCCCAAGAATCCTGTCCTCTGCAAAGGCTGTCCTACTGCTCCCACCCCTCAAAGACTTGGGCAGCGCCCCTTCTCGCCCAACTGTCCGAAGCTCTGCTACAGTCACAACAGGATTGCTTCTCGTGTTGTGTTCACACGTCTGCCTCTCGTATTGAGCTGTGAGTGATGTGAAGGTGGCACACTTGCCTGAGTTATCGCTCTAAACTCAGGGCCAGGCACGCCGCATACATTCTGTCAACATCACAGAATAAATGGAGGAATGAATGTAGGAGTAAATTCTCTAGTCATAGCCTAAGTGTCCTTATGCGGATAAATGACTTAGCATATTAATTTTCCTATCTGAAACTGAAAGTCAGAATGAGAATCAACAAGTCAGGGCTTTTGCTTTTTTTAAGCAATGTTCGGAAGAGAAGGACAAAACATTATGCTATTGCAGCATGATTTCTAGAAGGATGATGGCATTTGTTGTAGGATCAGAACATAACAAATACGCTGAGAATACAGATACGCTGACACATAGCATTGATGTCCCAGGGCAGTAATGTTAAAGGGGACATAATAGGGAGCAAGGTGTTTAGAACCTAAGCTTGTTCCTTTGTCATGAGAAAGCATAAAAGCTTATTTGGCAGGGCTCCCCAGACTTCTCTTTTGTGAGGAGTATCGTCCCTAAGAGCATGAACTTTGGAGCCCAAACTCTCAAGCTTTGAGTCTCAGCTCCAGCACTTATTAGCTCTGTAGGTGAGTAACTTAAACTCTCCGTGCCTCGATTTTCCTGTCTGTAAAATTAGTATGTTAATAGCACCTACCTCGGGACTTCCCTGGTGGTGCGGTGGTTAAGAATCCGCCTGCCGATGCAGGGGACACGGGTTCGAGCCCTGGTCCGGGAAGATCCCACATGCTGCGGAGCAACTAAGCCCGTGCGCCACAACTACTGAGCCTGCTCTCTAGAGCCCGCGAGCCACAACTACTGAGCCCACGTGCCACAACTACTGAAGCCCGCGTGCCTAGAGCCTGTGCTCCGCAACAAAGAGAAGCCCTGGCAATGAGAAGCCCGCGCACCGCACAGAGAGTAGCCCCCTGCTTGCTGCAACTAGAGCAGCAACAAAGACCCAACGCAGCCATAAATAAATAAATAAATTTGTAAAAAAGAAAAAAAAAATAGCGCCTACCTCATAAGTTACTATAAGGATTAATGCAGATAAAGTACTTACTACTTGGGATAACACAAGAGCTAGTTAAGACATATATTTTCCCCAAAATGTTAGGATGCATTTTCAAAGTATCAGAGATGGTTAGATCCTCTTTCTATGGCATTTCTGCTACATAATCAAGGATTTTAGGTATTTTTATCATTCTTCATCATTAATTATTGTCCACAGTTTTACAAAATCCACACAATTTTCACAACAGCTATATGAAGATTTAGAGAAATAGAGCCAAGATATAGGACTTCGAGGAGTTTATCCCCAGCTCCCTTTCTCAATAACTAGCCTCCAGCTTTTGTTCAAGAGGGATCAAGCCCAGAACAGTGAGGGCAGGACACCCAGAGGCTCACCACAATGTGTGTGCCGGTGTCACTGTGCCATCTAGTGGACTCAGAGTTTAGCCGCTGTTTGGAAGCCCTCCCAGAAGAGCTGGATTCCAGGGAAGGGTTTAGCCATAACTGCTCTGGTCCGTCTGGCCAGCTTCCAGGTGATCTCATAACACCACTCCCTTGATGTGCACCATCAGTGCTAATCGTGTGGGACGTCCGGAATCCCCCGTCTAAGGTGACAGCTCTACCAATGCATTCAGCTTGTCCATCCCCCGTCACAACCATCTTTGCAGAAGTGGGCAGAGAAGAAAGGAATGAAAACGGACAGTACAGTATTTATAACTGCGAGCAAGAAGCCAGCCAACATTCACCTATGTTTTAATAAGGATCTACCAAACAAGCCAGAAAGCAAGACATGCCAACGCTTAGTAACTTTTTGACCTTCATTTCTGGCTTCAGTGCATCTTGGCACAAGGCAGCCTGGGGCTGACAAGGGCTGAGCCAACTAAGGCCTGAATCCCAATTTATTGAAGTGTTTTTAGAGGCGGCCAACTGCTCTCTGCAGGTGATTAAAAGCTTATCCCCAGAAGGCTAGTAAACACTCCCCCACCAATAACTCAGCTCTGGCGTGCAGGGCAAGGGGTATTGAACACCATAACGGGAGAGAATATCCACATAAAAACCCAATTAAAGGCAAGGTTTGCCTTTGAGGGGCACTTGGAGGCCCATAATCCACCTCGTCTTTATGTTCTATTCAGAGTTCTTGGCCACCGTGACCAGGCGGACCGATATTCAACTTGAAAGGCAATGGGTTTGATATCAGCAACTGACTGAAATCACTTGTTTGGGCCTCAGTTCAACACTTTCTGGCCACAGACATGGCAACGGGTGGGTGTGGCTGTGCCTTGTCCAGGATGCAGGTACTCTGGGCGTTCCATGCATTTCATGGCCCTTCAAAATTTTAATACTATCATGAGAAAGAAGGAAGTCTCTGGGACACTGTTTATCCCAGAAAAATTCCAAATCAAGGAGAGGATTTAAGTAGGAAAAATCTAAAAATATTTCAAAAGAAAAGTTTCAAAGAAAAGGGAGTATGTAGTGAGACATATAGCACAAGGACAAAGTGTGGACTTGTAGGCAGAGTCCCGTTTCCCCCCTTTTTGGCTAGTCCCCAGGTTTAAACCTTGTTCTTTTTAAAAAAATGTTTATTTATTTATTTATTTTTGGCCGCACTGGGTCTTTGTTGCTGTGCGCGGGTTTTCTCCAGTTGTGAAGCTAGGGCTACTCTTTGTTGCGGTTCATGGGCTTCTCGTCGCGGTGGCTTCTCGTTGCAGAGCACGGGCTCTAGGTGTGCGGGCTTCAGTAGTTGTGGCACGCAGGCTCAGTAGTTGTGGCTCGTGGGCTCTAGAGTGCAGGCTCAGTAGTTGTGGTGCACGGGCTTAGCTGCTCCGCAGCATGTGGGATCTTCCCAGACCAGGGCTCGAACCCGTGTCCCCTGCATTGGCAGGCGGACTCTTAACCACTGTGCCACCAGGGAAATCCTAAAGCTTGTTCTTCTTAAAGGCCAGTTAGAGAAAATAAACTGCGTCAAGGCACCATTTCTTAAAAATGCCAAAGAGAAGCAGATACTGAACGATGTCGTTCATGCTGCAGAAGTTGAGAGGAGGGAGCGAAGTCTTGTCCCATGCCTGGTGACTAGCTGTCCTGAGCAGGGAAGGTCCGTTTAGGCTCTGCTGGGTGGCCCTATGTGGACACTTGTCCTTGAGCGTCTAGAACCCAGAGACTAGGACCTCAGTCCACACACCCCAACCCCCAAGCCTTCACTCTACCCAACAAACAATGCACGTCCTAGAGAGGTCAAGGTCCCTCAGCTAGTGAGTGGCAGAGTTGGGATTCAAGGTTCCAAAGCACATGTTCTTAACTTCATTTCATTGCTTTTGCAACAGGAACCTGTTTTGGAGGAAATTCATTCATTCAAAAAAATTTTGAGCTCCCATAAAATGGGAGGATATCATGGTGAATAAAATATAGCTCCTGCCCCCCAGTAGGTCTGTCATTCAGCAGAGAAAATAAAC